TTCAATATATTATTTTCATTGCTTTATTCGTTCAGTTAAATTACTTGTTTATTTAAATTCTCTTTTAATTAATCTTTATTCTCGATATATTCCAAACCCCCCTTCCTTTAATTTGAGCACATATTTTAAACTAGTTACTCCTCGTGGGATCGATCCTTACTCCCGCTACTACGTTTGTAAGGTTTTAATTTGGGAGCCTACGACAGCTCACCATATGTTAAGTACTTAGTAGTATATATTTAAATCAATAAGGTGTATATTGAGTTACTATGCTGTGGAAAACTTTGTTGAAGGTACGTGGGCCCTGGTTGAGTTAATGATTCCTTTCATTCCCCATAAACATGACAACAACATCTTTATCACGTGAAGGCTTTGAGATTTGTAAACGAGTATCAGCAAATGCACGTAGTTCAGGTTTCGTCTCCGTCTTGATGCGAGTCTCTCTACAATAGAACGAGGAGTCACGGTCTCATGCGGAAAGTCTAGCAGCGTCAGCGACGTAGAGCAAACCCCGGCGACTTCTGGACCCTAGCGGCGACGATCGGCATCCGGCAGCAGCAGAGATCAACATCCATGGTTCCTGGTCTCGCAGCATCAGTTTCCAATGGCATTCAAAAAAAAAAAGGAAAAAAAAAAACCTCCGGCGAGCATCGACAGTTCAGCGACAGTTTTCCGGGAGCAGTGATCCTCGACAGATGCAAAGCTCCGGCAACAATGGCTTTCAGCGGCGGTCTCCCAACCCGTGCGACTTTGATGAAGAACAAATTCCGGTGGGCAGCAGTCCGGCGACCTCCAACAACTCCGGCGACCTGCAATAGACGGAAAGGAACTCCGGCGACCTGCAATATATGGAAAAGAAATCTGGCGACCTGCAACAGACGGAAGAGAACTCCGGCGACCTGCAATAGACGGAAAAGAACTCCGGCGACCTACAATAGACGGAAAAGAACTCCGGCGGGCAGCAGTCCGACGACCTCCAACTGAAAAAAAACAACAACAAAAACCCTCCGGCGACTCGTTGCTTGTTGTTCCGTGTGATCAGCGCAGCAGTAGTCTCCGACGATTTCAAAAAAAAAGAAAAACAAACAAAAACGTCCGGCGAAGTTCACGGTGAAGAAATGGAGTTGGATAGCAGACTCCAGCGGCGATTTGCGATCGGCGGCTTCTGTGAAGAACTCCGGCAACCCCTTAAGAAAAGAAACAAAAAAAAAAAAAAAAAAAAAAAAACCAAGTGCTGCCAGGTTGCTTCCCAGTTTATGTACTTCCCAAACTCCCCTTTGTTTTTTTGTTTTTTTTTTTTTTTTTTTTTTTTTTTTTTTTTGTTTTTGCTATTCGATGCAGCCATACAAATCCTGCAAATAGAACATATATGGAAGAAGATAGAATATAAGAATTTACCTGATGGAAAAGAAACTCCAAGAAGCGCTACTCCCGGACTTGATAGAAAAAGCAGATTGTTCTTGATCTTCTTTCTTGTTGATTGCTGTGGGTTTGGGGGTGATTGAGATGGATGGTATTTATACTGAATCGCGAGGAGATGATGCTATCCTGATTGAGCGAAGTTGTTGGATGGTTGGAGTTGATTATGTGCTGAAATTACATATGAGATAAGGCTAAGTGTTAGTTCCGTTATTCCCTTGCATGATTGATATAATGGCAGAGAAGAATTGGCTTAAAACTTTCGTTGGTGCAGACTCAACACAATGGAATGTGTTATTAACATAAGTTCCGTCGATGCAGCCATACAAATCCTGCAAATAGAACATATATGGAAGAAGATAGAATATAAGAATTTACCTGATGGAAAAGAAACTCCAAGAAGCGCTACTCCCGGACTTGATAGAAAAAGCAGATTGTTCTTGATCTTCTTTCTTGTTGATTGCTGTGGGTTTGGGGGTGATTGAGATGGATGGTATTTATACTGAATCGCGAGGAGATGATGCTATCCTGATTGAGCGAAGTTGTTGGATGGTTGGAGTTGATTATGTGCTGAAATTACGTATGAGATAAGGCTAAGTGTTAGTTCCGTTATTCCCTTGCATGATTGATATAATGGCAGAGAAGAATTGGCTTAAAACTTTCGTTGGTGCAGTCTCAACACAATGGAATGTGTTATTAACATAAATGTTCATGGAATATGTTAAATTAACATAATACTACAGAGAGTGGCTCATGGAATTAAAGTGCATTGCACCATTATCTTTTGTGATTAAAATAATTTTGAGTTCATGAAATACCTCAGCACATTATTGGGCTCATTTTGTGCTAATTTAATCTTTTGATATGGGTTTGTGAAATATCCGGATATACATTTGGGCCCGTGGAGATAGATGCACCATGATGATTTTAAATGACCGTTTTGTTAAGTTTCGAGACTTTCTCGCACCAAGCACATCAGACGGCATGTCCCGACAAGTCTCGAGGGGGCAATTTGTAGACACGGGAAATTTGAATCCAACAAATGGACTGATAAATGGTCGGTGGACTGACGTTGAGGTTAAATGTTGGACCAATTTAATTAATTGGATCATATAAATTAATTTAATTTAATTAGCCCAATTAGAATTTGATTTTGGGCTATTGAATTAATTGATTAGTTGGTCCAAGCCCACTTCATATTTAAATTTAAATTATAATTATAATTTAAATATAATATTAATTTCATTATATTTGAATTAGATAATTATAATTTAATTTGAATTTGAATTAGATTATACAATAATGAACCTGGACTTGATCTTGGACAAGGTTCATTTTCCTAATTAATTAATTAATTAATTAGTTAACTAAAAAGGGGGGTTGGTCGAGGAATTTTGGTTAAGCTTTTAGTATAAATAGGGCCTTCATTTTCATTCCAAAACACACTTGAAAGCTTGAAGAACTTGAAAGCTTGAAGAGCTTGAAGGCATTGAAGAACGCTTGAAGATTTGAAGGCATTTTTTGTTGATTTTGCAGCCAATTTGAATTCATTGCAGGTATTTTGGAGCTTTGCATAATTGATTGTCTCGAAGATCTTGAAGTCTTTTGAGGCATTTGAGGACCTTAAGGCAGCTTGAATCCCTTGCATGTGTTTTGAAACTTTGCAGGGTTGATTACCTCTAAATTCTTGACGCTCGTTGTTGGAAGTCACGTCACTTAGATCCCGGAAGTTACGCCACTTAAATTCCGGAGGCACGCGCCATTTAAATCCCGGAGGCTACGCTATTTGAATCCCGGAGGCACTTCCATAGATAACGTCAGTGAAGAATCAGAGGACTAGACAGAGATTTTGTACCTGCATTGAATTATACACACGCTGTACACGAAATTTTGTGAATATATACAAAGTTTACTTTTTTTTTTTTTTTTTCTTTGTATTTACACAAACGAATACAAACATGATTTTCAAAAAATTTTAACAAATAAACATGAATATTCCAAAAATTTTAACAAACAAACACAAAAAACCTTCACTCATTCATGTTCAATTCATTAATAACGCTAGGCAACACATACCAACTTAGTTGTCCTAAAAATGGTGCAGTAGGGTATCAACGTAGTTACTTCAAGTGCAATACTAGAGTCCAGCGCAACGAAGCATTTTACACTCATTCTCCACTAACTAGCGCGCTAAATGCATGCAAGCTAAGGAGCGAGGACAATAGCTTAACGAAAAAGTTCTTTCCAACATTTTTCTTTATTTCTATTGTTTATTATTAATTTATTTATTTTGGTAACGAGGAAACGATGTCATTATGTAAAAATATATATTAAGGGCGTGTTTGGTTCACATATGATAATCGAAATCAGAATAAGAATGAAATACTTGGTAATGGTATGAATTTTGGTGAAAGTATTTTGCATGTGTGGTAGTAGGGTGGAATTGGAGTGATTATCAATATTGATATTTGATTATGTATGATTCTATAATGGGAATAAAGGTTTTAAAAATACAAAAACAAAAAAACAAAAAAAAAAAAAAAACAAAACAAAACAAAACAAAAAATCAAGACATGCAATTGATCATGATATAATGACATCCAAAGCACCAATATGAACAACAACAAAAAAAAAATCAAAACACAAATCTAAAAACACTAATCCAAACTTAAAAATCATATTACCAATAAAATGAAATGATACTCTTTAATTAGGGTATGGGATTTTTAATTGAAGGAGTAATCAAATCACATAGTTGTATTTTAAAAAGTTGTTAACCAGACACTAACTATGATTTTGATTCTCATTCCTATTGTGTAAACTCATTAACCAAACACACCCTAAATAAATCTTGTTAAGATTGTAATAGCCGAAAAAAGTACTCCTTTAAGAGCATCCACAATGGTTGGGGAGAATTGGGGGAGAATGTAAGAGTGATTAGGAAAGAGAAGGTGGGAAAGGGAGGAAAAAAAAAAAAAAAAAAAACCAAAACCAGAAAACAAAAAAGTAAAAATAAAAATAAAAAGAAAAGTATGCGACGCGCCTGACGTGCAGCCGGGCGCGTGCAGTGGGCATGTTGTGCGCCAAACGCGCACAGCATGCGATCTCACTTTTTTCTTTTTTTTCTATGCTCCCCATATTTGCAGGCCCATTCTTTCCACTATTCTTTCTTCTCCACACTAGTTATTCACTCCATTCAAAAGAAAGCATCTGACATTATATCCACATTCTCCCCTTAGTGTGGATGCTCTAAGAGGTTAAAGCTTAGTATCACATGCCTAGCTAGAGTCGGCACAGTGCTGTGCGGCGTTCCGGATCCCTCCTACCTTGCAGACCAGCCTTACCCTTCATATACTGATTTTGTCATAGCTTGGATTATTAGGGGAACGACAATAACTCCTGATCAATTGTGTTTTGGAATCACATCGATCTCTTTCATAGTCAAATTCAAGACTAGCCACAAACTCTCAAAATTTAACCTAGCATACTTGACTCGGTCAAATCTTAGCATCTAAGGTAGAGCAATCCTAGAATCCGTGTCTTCTTTTTCAAATTAAAGTCCGGAAGCTTCCCTTTTCCTTTTCCCTTGCCTTTTCTTCTTTATAACCACTCACTTGCTCATCATCTTTCTTCCCCCTTTTCCCTCTCTGCAGCCAAAGCTACTTCTAAGCTAAGCAACTGCTGTAAAAATTATCATACAACAATAGCTAGGCTGAACGGGATTGAGAAGAAAGCAGGAGTCCCGAAAAACATTAGGGAAGGTGTAAGAGACATGAAGAAAAGTCCTTCTGAGCAGGCCCTTGCTGAGCTTTTTGGGGGTAAGAATGGAGGCGATAATAAGGACATTTCTTCTGGTGATCAGCATCCCTCCATCCTCCTCATAAATCAGGTATATATGTATTTCATTCATTACTCATCTATCACCAATCCATATGATTGCCGTAGTTAATAACTCTTTATTTATTTATTTATTTATTTATTGGTTCCTAATAAATCTAAAGTTCAGCACTATTATTTACTATTTACAAGTGGGTAGTGATTATTAGAAAACTTTTTTAAAGTACATTAAAAAGTCAGTGTTAGTTGCAACTTGGCTAATTTGTAACAATTTACCAATCAATGTCTGCAGATCAAAGTGTTAACTGTCTTTTATATATACACTGAATACTTGTAAAATGACCTAATAAAAAAATTATAATATAATTTTAGTCGGTTTATTTATTATTTCAAGAAATTAAGAGCCTCTATTTTTGGTTAGATGGAAAATATTTTTTTAAAGATTTTTTAACATTTGTGGGAAATGCTATTTTCTTTTATTTGGTTAATGAAATTTACTTTTCAAAGAGAATAGAATCCCTTAAATTTAAGAAAAAATTAAAATTTTCTCTGCCAGTATTTTATTTTCAATAGAAAAAGTTTTCTTTGCTCACTTGGTAAAAAAAATTATGCCCTTATAGAAGTTTCTTAATAATAATAATAATAATAATAATAATAATAATAATAATAATAATAATAATAATAATAATAATAATAATAATAATAATAATAATAATAATAATTATTATTATTATTATTATTATTATTATTATTTTGTATAGATATATTGATCTTTATAATCATTATTCTTTATAATTTCAAACTAAAACCGTATCAATATTTCGAGTAACCAATCAAACAATGGAATTAATATTTCAAGTAATTTTTTCTCCAATCAAACAATAAAATCAATTTGTATAATAATTCTTTTAAAAAAAATTTTAATTCTATTTTTTCACAAAGTAGGGTATATATAGTGTTTTTTATTTAATCAATTTCTTTGATTTAAACAATTTTAAATTCAATATTTGTAAAGACATGTAAAAGTGTAAACAACATTTATAGAATTTTGTGCAATGAATTCTCTTTTATAGACAACAACGTTATATATAGAATTTTGTGCAATTCTCTTTTGTTTTGTTTGAGTGGTGTCTTGTTGGAAATCCACGTATACATCTGATGCATATATATTATAGACGAAGCAAGGCCGACCCAGGAAGGTGAAGTTCGGAGGGTCCAAATGGATCCGGGGCCCTGAGATTGAGCTTCATGCTCAACCCGGGCTGCCTCAGCGCGAGACTTCGGCATGACGCCTCGCACAAGGCCTCGGCATGGGGCCTCAGCACGAGGCCTCGGCAGCCGGCACTTGGCTGGTCAATCCACGAGCCCGGTCTCCGGACAAGACGCGGTCAAAATGAAGATGCAATCGTTCCTCCCCGACCTTCACGATCCGGGAGGGCGGGTTGGGGGTCCGTAGTTTATAAATGACCTTTTCTTTTTCTTGTTAAGACATGTTTTGATTTATTGTCTTAAACTACCGATTGTAATAACATTATCTTATTCTTGTAATAGGTCAATAATATCACTATCAATACAGTATTTGATCTCTGCGACCTTACGACGATACCGTTTCGCTTATTTACCTATCCTTTGTTATTTACATCTTTAATCGGATTTAGTAATTCGAACTGCTCTGAATTAATTAATTAAATCCATCAACATCAATTAAATTATTTATTTATTGTGATGCGCGACGCAGGATGTAATGCATGGGCTTTCTTCGAGTTTCAATCCGTTGAGTGATCATGTCAATTTTTGGCCTAAGAAAACAACTCCCAGCCATGCTTGCATTGTAGGACCTGGGGATGCACAGTCTTCAACATGTGGTACGTATTGAATCTTTATCGACCTCTGTCCAACAACAACTTGATTGTAACCTGACTCTAATACTTGTTATTAGGATCAAGCGCTTACCACTTATGTTAAAAATTATAGCAAGTAGTGAACGCATAACTTTATTTCCTTATAGACTGACATCACATTTTAGAGATACTGGATGTTATACTTGACCCTTTACCGACTTCCACCTAACAATCTCCCAGCCACCGAATACTAAATTTGATCTTTACCAACCCCCGCCCAACACGTACTCCTTCCATCCTAGCTAATCTGATCTATACTTCACAAATTAAAGTCTGATCTCACTTATGCTTTATATATGTTGATAAATTAAAATAAATTTGAGATATTTCGAAAAATACTACATTAATCAACAAGGGAAATTGATCTACAAAGTTGACTTGAGTTGATAATAATCATGTAATAAATATATAATTGACAATTTAGATATTTTACATTTGAACTTGCGAACTTATTAATCTGTTCAGCAACCACTTTCATATGTCAATTTTAACATTTTTTAATATATAGCCCGCATGTCAAGGACACATTTTTTTCATTAACAATTATGATAAAATTGTTTAATTTAGGAATATAAGTGTTATACTAAATTTCATTGGGATAATACAAAATGTAACATAAATAGCCGGGCCGGTCCTATCATTTTATAGGTCCGGGGCGAAACAAAAACAAGGGCCCTTAATATATGAAGCTAAAAGATAGTAAATTATTTTGTGCACTCGGGTCTACCTTGCAAGGTGGACCTCAGTCCAAATGATCACAATTTATCTTCTAAAAATTCACAATTTGTATACTACGAACACGCAATGTTAATATATATGTAATTGATTATCTTATTTTGTATTCACAAGTTCTTTTCAAATACTGCAGTCACACAATATTAACATATTAGGATTTGATTACCCAGTATTTTATTCACAAATTTCTTTCTACAGTTGTTATGTGTTTTGACTTAGAAACACAATTTATATGCTAGAAGTTCACAATACTAATACTAAAAATACATAATTTATACGTCGTTTAGGACCCTGGTCCACCTTGATTTATGTTATAAAAACTCTTAAAAGATGGTAGGGGTTAATTGAAAATAACAAAATGATAATTATATTTTAAATTTTTGTAAACATATAATTGTTTTTATTAAAAAAAGCATTGTATAATAGCCTTGCTGTAGTACTCACTAAAACTTTAGGACCCTATATGAAATATAATCATAAATTAATTCAACATTCACTAATTATATATATCTATTAACTAAGATAACTATATCAAATGGTTGTAATTGTTAAGTAGATTATTTAAAATTAATAAATAATTTTGAAGTCATAATTTTTTTTTTAAAAAAAAAATAAACAAACAAAGTTAGGGACCCCTCCCAACGGCAAATTATATTATGCACCGCGGTGCATAATCGATTATGCACCGCGCGTCTTTTTTTTTTAAATGAAAATAAACCGTGTTTGTTTCCGCCGTTTCGCACCGTTTTGCAAAAAGTAACTCTGTTATTCAGTGTCATTTTGTATACACTGCAGTTTCAGTTCAACACAACTACAGTTTCATTTCGATATAACTATAGTTTCATTCGATATTTATAGACTCAAATATGTGAAAATGTTATTTAATTTTATTTTATATACACTATAGTTTCATTAAAACACAACTACATGATCATTTTGATATAATTACAGCTTCATTGTACAATATACACTCAAATATGTGAAATGTTATTCAGTTTCATTTTATATACACTGCAGTTTCATTTCACTATAACTACAGTATCATTTTTATATAACTGCAGTGTCGGTTTAGATATATTATAGTGTCAGTTGGTGTTTAATACACCAAACAAGCGGACTCCGTTAACTCTAACGGCGGACCGTTTCTTTACTTAAAGAAACAGCGCCGTTTTTTACCGCTGTGCACCGCGGTCTATAATATAACGACTGCCTCCCAACGCCGCCCCTCTGAGCCGGCCCTGTAAATAGCTAGCATCTTCTATCAACATACTTTAATCAATATTTTCAGTTATATATTATATTATTTTAATACTGAGCATGTTCCATCTATGTCTGTACATAAAATGCCATGCCTAGTTGGTTTTCGAAATTCAACTATTAAACAACATAGAAGTGAGAATCAAATGACTGGAGCCGTCAGTGGATCCTCTCACGAACTATGGGAGGAGGATGATGACTTAGAAGTTGAAGAAGGAGGTGCATGCGAGCAAAGCGTGGTCAATAATACTGATGTGAAACGCATAAAGAGGTACTTGATCTAAAATTTTATAAGCATGCAAAATTTATAGCTTGAAATTAATGTTTATATTATATGACGTCTCGTTTACATTATTTACCTAGTTTAGAATATATACATATAGATAAAATATATGTGTAATAAAAAGTAATCATTATAACTTCCTAATATAAGCATAAAAACTAAGTTAATAATTAGTCATTTTAGTATATACTCCATATAATATAAATGATGTGGTTTGTGTAATTTATTTATTAATTAAAGGGAAAATGACACTTTTTTCCTATACTTATAGTACTTTTTCTCCTTGAATTATTCATGTAAGCATATTAGCCCCATCAATTATTCTAAAAGTGACGATTTTTGCCCCTGATATATTAAATTGACATCTCTACCCTTAAAGTAAACATTTTATTTATTTTTCTTCTCCAACAAATTAAATTGTTGCTTATACGTTGGGATGACCATGGTTCGATTCGAACTGAACCAGACACTATAGCAATCGAATTGAAAGTTTCCGGTTATGATTCAGATCCAGAACCCAATATTTGGATTTCAGTTTATTAAAATCATGAATCGAAGAAGCTGGATC